CCGCTCGGCACACCGTTGTCATCGGTGTCGGCCCACCCACCGATGGCGATGAGGGCAGCGCCACCTCTCACGTCGGCGCAGGTCTCCTCTTCCGTCTCTGCCGCCGGGGCCTCGCTGGGCACGCTCCCGCGCGCAGGCAGCCCACTGCCCCCAAGGTCCATGTTCACCTCCTCCCCCTCCCCCGGGATGGACGAAGAGGTGCTCCCCGGAGCCTCAACGCCACCCGGCACAGCCACGGCGCCGGTGGCGGTCGTCGGCTGTTCCTCTCCCTGCGTTGGAGGGGGGGAGGCCGGGCCCGGAGGTCGCGCTCCCGGCTCGGTCGTCTCCGCCAGGGGTGCGTCACCCGTGACCTCCGTGGCCTTCCCCCCCCCCCCCCTCCACAGGGCAGCCGGCTGGCTGGATACCGTCGCCAGCTGTTTCGGCCGTCTTCATGGGCTGGGCGCTCTCGCGCCTGCCCATCCTCCTCTTTCCGCGCCCCTCCGACGACGGTGAACGCTCCACCGTCATCGTCAGCGGGCTCCTTCTCTGGTGCTGGCTCTCCGCGCTCCGGCACCATCTTGCTGCTGCTGCCCCTGCTGCTACTGCTGCTCACGATGCTCCCGCTGCTGCTGCTGTTGCGGCTGCAGCGTCGGCGTCGTCTCCTCCACCCAACCTCGTCTTGGTGGAGCGGTACTTTTTAACATGTCCCACGCCGCCACACCCGTAGCAGCGTGGTGCGGTTGTAGCCAAGTACACCGTGTGGACGCGGCCACCAGCGGTGCGCTTGATGGCCACGTCCAGCTCGTTGCGTACACCTTTTAAGATGAGGAGCACCTGCCGTTTGCCGGACATGAGGTGCCGCATGGCCGGGTTCCGCGTTCTCATGGGCAGCAGGCTGATGCTGGAGGCCACCGTGCCGAAGCGTTGCAGCTCTCCCACCAGCTCCTCGTTTTTCATGTATGGCGGGGCGCCTGTGATGGTGACTCGTACCGTCGGTGCCGTGAGAGGGGTGCACTGCACGAGCAGCCCCCCCTCCCCTCTGACGCTGAGCCCCCTCCACCACGCGCGCCACCGTGGCCACGTACACCACTCTGTCGATCTACACCATCCACCTATATCGGTATCTCACGCCCATTGTATGTGTAGTGAGTTCAGGGAGACGACGACGGAGTTGAGGCACACTCTTTTTATTAACGCAGGGACAGACACAATAGTTGAAGGGGTAACGGCCCCTTCACCCGTACTATGTGGGAAACCACCCCTAGTACTAAGCCCTCTGTCCTGCTCCGCAGTCCTCCTCTAATGGGCTACGGGAGGCTGTCTGATCCGGCCCTGGTAAGCAGAGATCTCGGCACCAGCTAAGCCGGCCCTGCCCTTACAAGGGCAGAGGTCCGGGAGCTCTTGGGCCGCGCCGCTGGCTTGCCCAGCTCGGCCCTGACAAGGGCAGCGAGACAGGGGAGTCCCAGGGCCTAATCTCAGAGTCTTCAGTCTTCACTGGTCAGCTTCGTGTCGAACTGGCCCCGAGCTCTCTGGCTCCCCGCCTTTTATAGAGATCCCCTCGGAGGGGCGGGGTTATGGGGGATCACAGAGCCCCCATGGCCCCCCAGTGGTTAACGGATGCGGACGTCGGTGTGGCCACCCGTGTGTGCGGGTGCAGACACCCCTGTGTTTCTCGTCCGCCTTTTCTCCCGTAATAACCCCTACACAGGCAACGAGCTGAGATTAGGAGCAAACTCTTAAAGGGAGTGCTCCTAATCTCAGCTTGTTACAATGAGGGAAAAAAGCATTTGATCCCCTGCTGATTTTGTACGTTTGCCTGCTGACAAAGAAATGATCAGTCTATAATTTTAATGGTGGGTTTATTTGAACAGTAAAAGACAGAATAACAGCAACAAAATCCAGAAAAACGCATGCCAAAAATGTTATAAATTGATTTGCATTTTAATTGTCTCCACGCATGCACCACTGTCTCTATCTCTAATCACCCTGTCCCTATACCACTACACACTGTTCTTCACGACTATACAGTAGTACCGTACACCCACGCAGTTACATTGAACACGTATTTCTTTAGAACTGCTTTCCGTGAACCTTAGGTCAATGTCACCACCACCGTCAATGTCACTACCACCACCACCGTCAATGTCACTACCACCACCACCATCAATGTCACCACCACCACCATCAATGTCACCACCACCACCACCACCGTCAATGTCACTACCACCACCACCGTCAATGTCACTACCACCACCACCACCGTCAATGTCACTACCACCACCACCGTCAATGTCACTACCACCACCACCGTCAATGTCACTACCACCACCACCATCAATGTCACCACCACCACCATCAATGTCACCACCACCACCGTCAGTCACTACCACCACCACCATCAATGTCACCACCACCACCGTCAATGTCACCACCACCACCACCGTCAATGTCACTACCACCACCACCACCACCGTCAATGTCACCACCACCACCACCGTCAATGTCACTACCACCACCACCATCAATGTCACCACCACCACCACCGTCAATGTCACTACCACCACCACCATCAATGTCACCACCATCACTGTGACTACCACCACCACCATCAATGTCACCACCACCACCGTCAATGTCACTACCACCACCACCACCGTCAATGTCACCACCACCACCACCGTCAATGTCACCACCACCACCACCGTCAATGTCACTACCACCACCACCATCAATGTGACTACCACCACCATCACCATCATCACTACCAGTCACCACCACCACCGTCATCGTCACTACCAACCGCCATGTGCTAACAGGTGGCAGTGACGTCACGACGGCTCTTGTGATGGCGTCCGGGGATGGAATTCCTTTCCAGCCCAGAGGCTGCCTGCCCTGCGCCACGTATACAAACCCTCGTTGTGACAGGTCTCTCTAGGCTGGCTCAGCAGTTCAACTGCTGTGTTTTATCGCTCTCTCTCCAATGTCGGCAAGAAGCGCGCGGAGATTTTCCACCTCGTGACGTCAACGGCGATCGCAAAGTTGCAATTTAAAAAAATCTCGTGGTCAGAACGACGACCGGTTCCGCGCGTCCGTTTCGCACCGCCTCTGCTGCTGCTGTTCCCTTCCCAGTCACGGCGGAGAAGCAGTGCGGCTGCCAGGAGCAACTCCGCTGGAACGCCGACTGCAAGCTGTGCCCTTGGACCGTCGATCAATTCTTGTGCAAGTAGCCTCAAGACGCTGTCGAGGGATGGCCTCGGCTGAAATCCCGATTCCATTTGGTTTCAGCCGGGTCCTGTGGGTGTGTTTGGTGACCCCCCCACAAAGTTTGTTTGGGGCACCGGTATCATAGCATCCAGCATGCGCATGACTACGTGACACGATACATTACACGACTACAAACACTACACTTTGATACACTACACCTTGATACACTACCCTGCTATGCACTTGTCAACATCCGCATGTGGTGAATTTCCACAATGCAGAAACGCTGTTGCTTTTTGACCGTCGCCACTTGATTGCGGTTAGCAACTCAGTGGCGTTGTTGTTGTTGTTCCTTTCTACTCCGTTCTTGTTGACGCCGCGTTTGGCAATTCTACGAAACGTTCACTGAGCACAGTGAGGATGGACAATGCAGAGTGGTGTGTGTGAGTGTGTGAGTGAGTGAGTGTGTGAGTGTGAGTGAGTGTGTGAATGAGTGTGTGAGTGTGTGTGTGAGTGTGTGAGTGTGTGGGCACAGTGAGGATGGACAATGCAGAGCGGTGACCCCTACACAAGTGAGTTAGCGAGCCGCCCCTGCAGCATCCGTCATCATACCCTTCACTGAGCCGCGTGACGCTCTATACACTTTACACTTGAATACAATCTTGCAGAAAAAAGTCATTTTCTGTGTGTCTATCTCTGTGTGTGTGGACGTCGGGGATGCCTTCCTGAGTATGGAAACGGCGTTATACCGAAGCGATTGATAGTGTGGTGGTGGTGGTAGTAGGTGAGGTTTTCGTCGAGGATGCGTTCCTGAGTATGGAAACGGTGTTATACCGAAGCGATTGATAGTGTGGTGGTGGTGGTAGTAGGTGGTGATGGTGGTGGAGGCGAAGGGGCTGAGAGGGTGGCGGTGTTAATCACGTGACCACGTCATTTGCGAATTGACGTTAAATCGGAGTAACGCTGCATTTTCTGTGTTTTTTGGAGTTTGCCGTGTGCGTTTTGGGTCTCGATTAAGTCGGCTGTGGTGTTCACGATGGCGAATAGCGGTGCACTAGTTCCGCATCGATTGTTAATGATCACCAGGGGCGGGAGGAGTGGGCGTCCTCATGGATCCCGTACCGCTCTCCAGCACGCCTTATCCCACTGGAACAGTTTCATTATCGATCAACTAGAATCTTTCGATTTAAAGCTTCTTTGGTGACTGCAGGGATTCATCTTCTTGGTTCTTTCGGTAAAGTCACGTAGAAGAGAAATAATAAAATAATACAAATAAAACAATATAATTCTCACGACGTTTCGGCCACAACGCAAGCAGCCGTCCTCAGATGAAGAACAGGTCTGTCGGAAAGACAGCATCTGAATGAAACACCACCAGGCTTGGCAGCGTATATTTAAGCCGGGATGGAGGGGGGAAGAGCGCCTTGACAAAATAATTTGCATATCAAGAGGAATTTAGCATATTTATGGGAAATGCAGATATGGGATTAGTACCACTTGTGAAATGCGTAGGAGGTGGGCGGGGGGTCTCAAAGTCATATCATGCCCGTGCATTATGCAGGATTAGCAGCATCAGAATCGTGCAACATTCGCGAGTTTCCTCTCCGTCTGTCCACGCGCGTGATGCCTCCCCAATTCGGTACTTCGGACGACGGTGAAAAACCCCACAAATGGGTGCGGAGTGATGATGATGATTGATGACGATGGTGGTGGTGGTGGTGATGACGATGATGATGGTGATGATGAGGGTGATGATGACGATGATGATGGTGACGATGATGATGATGGTGACGATGATGATGATGACGATGGTGATGATGACGATGATGATGACGATGATGATGATTGATGACGATGATGATGATGGTGGTGGTGATGATGGTGATGATGGTGATGATGGTGATGATGATGGTGATGATGATGGTGATGACGATGATGATGATAGTTTAATGATCCAGGAGGCTGCGCGGTGTCACGGAGACTCTCCACTCAGTAGGGCCCTTCCACATTCGGGGTTTTTGATTTATGTTTCATCGCAGGATATTGTCAGCCAATGAGTAAGTTGCGTGTACCGCAAGGGTAGGAGGAAATCTGAACATCTCGGAGAAAAGCCGCTCCTTGCACGAGGGGGAAACACTGGCACAAGCGTCGTGGTGACGTCACCGCCACTTAGTGGCGAATGGCGGTTGTTGTGTTGGGTGTGGGGGTGTGTGTGTGGGGGTGTGTGTGAGTGTGGGGGGGTGTGTGTGAGTGTGGGGGGGTGTGTGTGAGTGTGGGGGGGTGTGTGGGAGTGTGTGAGTGTGGGAGTGTGTGTGGGAGTGTGTGAGTGTGTGTGGGGGTGTGTGACTGTGTAACTGTATGGGTGTGAGAGTGAGTGTGTGGGTGTGTGCGAGTGTGTGGGTGGGGAGCGGTAGTGTAGTGGTTAGCGCGCTGCGCTATGAACCCGGCGGCACGAGTTCGATTCCCATTCACGGCTAACACCAGTGACGATTATCTGAACCGGTTCCCGGGCCTCAGCCTCAAATGAGTACCTGGTGCGGTGTGTAAACATCGCCACTGGGGAGACAAAGGCGGTAGGGCGTGGTGCTGGCCACCCACCCCCTCGTGTGCCGTTCTGGCCTTCATAGGTGCTCGCTAACAGCACTTGCCCCTACAGTCTGTTAAAGGCTATACGGGGGTTCTTAGTTCTTTGTGTGGGGGTGTGAGTGTGTGAGTGTGTGGGGGTGAGTGTATGTGTGCATGTGTGTGTGTGTGTGCGACCCACTCCCCGTGCCGACCAATCGGATGGAGCATCTGGCTGCCTGAACATCGTCACACGGCGAAGGTCTCCGACACTCGTCCTGTTCTCTCTTCGCGTCTGTTCATCGGCGGCTGCGCGTCCACGTCCCTGTCCCTACGCACGTTCTGCATTCCCAGCGCCACTGTCGAAAGAAGGACAAACAGAAGGTTCATCTTCTTGGTTCTTTGGGTAAAGTCATCACGTAGAAGGGAAATAATGAAATAATAAAAATAAAACAAAGTCGCGTAGAAGGGAAATAATGAAATAATAAAAATAAAACAAAGTCGCGTAGAAGGGAAATAATGAAATAATATTAATATAAAACAATAACAATTCTCACGACGTTTCGCCTGCAACACAAGCAATCGTCATCAGGTGTGAAATCCACAGCAAGAAAGAGTGGCGGTTTGTCGTGACGTCAGCACCACGGACAGCGATTTGGCAGTTGGCCAGATGGACGAGTCCAACTCTGTTCGGGTCTTCACGCTCACGTGACTTGCAGACGCAGCCCGTTGTCTGCTGCCCCCTCCTCTTCTCCCCGAACAGAGATGGACTCGTCCATCTGGCCAACTGCCAAATCGCTGTCCGTGGTCCTGACGTCACGACAAACCGTCACTTTTTTTAAAATTTTCTTGCTGTGGATTTCACACCTGACGACGATTGCTTGTGTTGCAGTCGAAACGTCGTGAGAATTTTTTATTGTTTTATATTTTTATTATTTCATTATTTCCCATCTACGTGATGATTTTACCGAATTCAAGTTTCTAGAATCAACCCACCTGCGCCTGCAACATGGCTTCATCCCAGAGGTCGCAATCAGGTACCCGAAACCCGTACCCTACCCGTAACCGGCCGGGTACGGGTAGGGTACGGGTACGGGTACCCGTTTGCGACCCTGGTGCGGCCGGGTACGGGTAAGGAATCAAAACCCGTTTGCGAGCTCTGGCGTGAACGTGAGACCTCGTCAGTGACACACCGAGTGTGGGGCCACGGAGAGAGAGAGCTCCGGCCGGCTACCCACGTCAATGCTCATTCACCAGGGGGGGCCGGGCGATCCGGCTGCCCGGGCCCTGAAGGCCGACGGCGTCTCCTCCTCCTCCTCCTCCTCGTGTTGTTCCCCTTGCAGACGGAGACGACGTAGACCACGACAGCCACAGGCGCCAGCACCCCGGCCACCAGCAGCCCTGCCCTGTGCGGCGGCGTCTCCCCTGGAGGGGCGGCGGTGGCCTCGCTCAGAGCCCCGCCGTGTGGCCGCCGTGGGGCTGCAGAGACACGGAGACGGGGGGGGGGGGGGGGCTCAGGGTGACCCCCACTCGCACCCTGCACCACCACCTCAAGCGGCGACTCGACACGGCTTCACGTGCAGCAGGGAGAGACACTCACTCAACACGGCTTCACGTGCAGCAGGGAGAGACACTCACTCAACACGGCTTCACGTGCAGCAGGGAGAGACACTCACTCAACACGGCTTCACGTGCAGCAGGGAGAGACACTCACTCAACACGGCTTCACGTGCAACAGGGAGAGACACTCACTCAACACGGCTTCACGTGCAACAGGGAGAGACCACCCATTCAACACGGCTTCACATGCAACAGGGAGAGACACTCACTCAACACGGCTTCACGTGCAGTAGGGAGAGACCTCTCACTCGGGATTGACATCGTATCGAAATTGCGAAGAGTCGCGTCGCCGCGCGGCGAGCGTGGCCGTGTCAGCCACGGCGCAACCGGCGCCGCGAGCTCCGCGCTCGGCTCACCCGCAGCCGTCACGTCCTGCAGCTGCAGCAGCAGCTCCGCTTGCACGGCGGCGTTCCCCGCGGCGTCACAGCGGCGGCAGTCGACGCGGCACAGGGCGACGGGGCCGAGGCTCCCGGGGAAGTTGGGGATGCCGACGGAGCAGTCTCCCGCGAGCACGTCTCCCGCGGACTTGGCGACGCTCGAGTCGTCCGCCGTCTCGTCGCCCGAGAAGTAGATCTGCCAACGACACCGAGCGCGACGTGGGACGGTCGAGCGCGATCGCACGCGATGCCCGCCGTCGAATCGTCGTGAGCTGAGCCGGGCTCGGTGAGCTCGGTTAACTCCCTACACGGGAGAGCTCTTGGGCGATGGCAAAATATGAACGTTGAGTTTGCGTCGAGTTCTTGGTTCTTTCGGTAAAGTCGTCACGTAGAATGGAAATAATAAAAATAAAACATAATAAAATAATTCTCAGGACGTTTCGGCCACAACGCAAGCAGCCATCCTCAGGTGAAGAACAGGTCTGTCGGAAAGACAGCGTCTGTTGCATTCATCTTCTTGGTTCTTTTGGTAAAGTCACGTAGAATGGAAATAATAAAGAACAGGTCTCCACCTGAGGACGGCTGGTTGCGTTGTGGCCGAAACGTCGTGAGAATTGCATTTTATTATGTTTTATTTTTATTACTTTATTACTTCCGTTCTACGTGGTGACTTTACCCAAAGAACCAAGAAGATGAATCCCTGCAGTCACGAAATCAGCTTTAAATCTTAAGACAATCACTAGTCACGACTGACGTGAAATGCGAGCCCCACCAAGGTCATGTCTCCACTGGTGACGTTCTCTGCGTAGCGTCTGGGCATCGTGAACCACTGGACGACGACGTGGTCCAGGTGTGTGGCCAGTGGGGAGAAGGAGCAGGGGAGAGTGACGTTCTCTCCCTCCCTCACAGACAGACTCTTCGGGAGAGTGAGCTGGAGCTTGACAGCCAACGCCGCATCTGCAGAGAGACCGGTCACGCTCGTTACGCATACACCTTGTTGACCATGCAAAACAGATTTAACTACGCATCAAAACGCTATACCACAGAGCTCATGGCATTTCTGACCAACACCACCTGGCCAGTGAATTGAGACATGTACATCGGGCCCTCAGGACGAACGGATACTCTGACCGCACCATCCGCCAAGCTGTTTCTCCCACCATACAGAAACAGCCACTTGAAACTCCGATCAAAACCATCACGTTGCCATACATAGCAGGCGTGACCAAAAAGATCTCCAAAATTCTAAACAAACATAAGATCCAAGTCCGATTCAGTACAGTACATAACATCCGTGATCTAATTCCATCTGTGAAAGATGTCATTCCTGACTTACAATACCCTGGAGTCTACAAACTGAGTTGCAGTGGTGGTGATTGCTAGATTGGAGAAACGAAACGCCATGTCTCTGATCGTGTCCGCGAGCACAAGTCAGATCTGAAACACGGCAGAACTGATTCTTCCGCCGTTGCCGATCATTGCTACAACGCTGTGGGCTCTCATGAAATTGTCTTTTCCGAGACCAAGGTGCTCTGCAAACCTCCTGGCTACCATCAAGGGTTTTTACACGAAGCCATCCAAATATACAAACACAGACATAATTTCAACCGTGATGATGGGTACAAACTGAGAAATCATTGGAAAGATGTTATTGACCATGCGAAAAAGATTTAACTACACATATTTGGACCATCTTATTTGACAGACAACTATTCCTTAGTTACCGTACAGTTCACTGATAGACAGCCACTGGCACGCCCAGGGCGGTGTCACAGGGGTCGCATCGCCGTGAGCTCCTCGTCGTCCTCACGGTGGGAGATTTAAAAACAACTATGACAATTAGCAGGTGAAATGTGACCCTTTTAATCAAAAGTTACCTGGCCACAAATGCGGAAATTTATCGCAGAAAAGTCATCGGAATGCACGTCGACTCGAAATGTGGAGGAAAAAACAGAGGACCCGGAGACAAATCCACGCGGCCACAGGGACAGACTCGCAAACTCCAAATATACAGCAGCAGGCATCAGGGTCGGGATTGAACCCACGACCTCCTGTACACCAGGCGAGGTAGTTAACATCTCCTAGCCCCCGTGATGATGATGAGAGAGACACCGCAAACTCCAAATATACAGCAGCAGGCATCAGGCTCGGAATTGAACCCACGATCTCCTGTACACCAGGCGAGGTAGTTAACATCTCCTAGCCACCGTGATGATGACGATGAGAGAGGGAGACTCGCAAACTCCAAATATACAGCAGCAGCAGGCATCAGGCTCGGAATTGAACCCACGACCTCCTGTACACCAGGCGAGGTAGTTAACATCTCCTAGCCACCGTGATGATGACGATGAGAGAGAGAGACACGCAAACTCCCAATATACAGCAGCAGGCGTCAGGGTCGTGATCGAACCCACGACCTCCTGCATTCAAGGCGAGGCAGATCGCAGTGACCTCTCACCTAGCTAACGAAAGGGCACCGTCCAATGTGTGCTGGGTGAGTGTCTCTGGGTGTGAACTCACCCAGAAGGAGGAAGACGAACAGTGAGATGAGGACCGGCTTCATGGCCGGCTCTGTCTGCTGATGATCGCAAAAGAGAACGAGCCATTAGTCCATCTCACGGCCGCACTCCAACGGTTCACACTCCCTCACTTTCACATCACTCCGCTTCAACATCTTTCCATTCGTGACATCGGCGATGAGTTTCATCTTTTTGCATTCGGTTTTCCCATCTGCTATAATATAAATGCACGCTTAATTTCTACACGCCAGAGGTCGATACCCGGCTACCCGTACCCGGCCGGGATTTCATTTATACCTGATGATGATTGCTTGTGTTGCAATCGAAACGTCGTATGCTTGTATTAAATGTATTATTTTATCTTTACACGTGACTTTACCGAAAGAACCACCAAAGAGTAATTCCTGCAGTCACGAAAGCTCCAAATTAAGTTTGAATGTTTGCGTGTCGTTAAACCGACCATCAGCCGACACAGCCAGTTGGCAAGGTTTATCACGCGAACACACCGTGCCAATCTGTCACTGGAGCAGCACTAACCGGTTGTGTGTTGGAGTGTCTGTGTGTGTGTGTACACACGTACACACACACAGTGTGTGTGTGTACACTGTGTGTGTACGTGTGTACACTGTGTGTGTGTCTGTGTGTGTACACTGTGTGTGTGTACACTGTGTGTGTGTGTACACTGTGTGTGTGTACACTGTGTGTGTGTATACACTGTGTGTGTCTGTGTGTGTGTGTACACTGTGTGTACACTGTGTGTCTGTGTAAACTGTGTGTGTGTACACTGTGTGTGTGTCTGTGTGTGTGTGTACACTGTGTGTGTGTATACACTGTGTGTCTGTGTGTGTCTGTGTGTGTGTGTACACTGTGTGTGTGTGTACACTGTGTCTGTGTGTACACTGTGTGTCTCTGTGTGTACACTGTGTGTGTCTGTGTGTGTGTACACTGTGTGTGTGTGTACACTGTGTGTGTACACTGTGTGTGTGTACACTGTGTGTGTCTGTGTGTGTGTATACACTGTGTGTCTGTGTGTGTCTGTGTGTGTGTGTACACTGTGTGTGTGTGTACACTGTGTGTCTGTGTGTACACTGTGTGTCCGTGTGTGTACACTGTGTGTGTGTCTGTGTGTGTACACTGTGTGTGTGTATACACTGTGTGTCTGTGTGTGTGTCTGTGTGTGTGTATACACTGTGTGTGTGTGTACACTGTGTGTGTACACTGTGTGTGTACACTGTGTGTGTCTGTGTCTGTGTGTGTGTACACTGTGTGTGTGTATACACTGTGTGTCTGTGTGTGTCTGTGTGTGTGTGTACACTGTGTGTCTGTGTGTACACTGTGTGTCTGTGTGTGTGTATACTGTGTGTGTACACTGTGTGTGTCTGTGTGTGTGTTACACTGTGTGTGTATACACTGTGTGTCTGTGTGTGTGTGTACACTGTGTGTGTGTACACTGTGTGTGTGTGTACACTGTGTGTGTGTACACTGTGTGTGTGTACAATGTGTGTGTGTACAATGTGTGTGTGTGTACAATGTGTGTGTGTGTGTACACTGTGTGTGTGTTCAGCACGCCCGGCGGACCCGTTATTCGATCCCGACTCCTGCCGGGGGAGGCGCTCCGGGCGCGGCGGGTCCGCTAGGAAAACTCGGGATGGCCCGAGGCCGACTAGGCCGCAGTCTTCCCTCCCCTCTGTTCTAGATGGTGACGGTGTTGCTGATGTTGTTGTTGATGCTGATGATGTTGTTGATGTTGATGTTGTTGATGATGTTGTTGTTGATGTTGTTGATGTTGTTGTTGATGTTGCTGTTGTTGTTGTTGCTGATGTTGTTGTTGATGCTGATGTTGTTGTTGATGCTGATGATGATGTTGATGCTGATGTTGTTGTTGATGCTGCTGATGATGTTGTTGATGCTGATTGCTGATTATGTTGTTGTTGATGATAATGTTGTTGATGCTGATGATGTTGTTGATGCTGCTTCTGATGATGTTGATGATATTGCTGCTGATGCTAGGGGTGGTGATGATGTTGCTGATGATGGTGTAGATGATGTTATTAATGATGTTGCTGATGCTGATGATGTTGTTGATGCTGATGATGTTGTTGTATATGATGGTGTAAATGATGTTTATTGATAATGTTGATGATCGCAAACATCAACATAATTTATTAATTTATTCAGTTAGGGTAGCCTCTCATTGTGGGAGGGGAGAGTCTTGTACCCCAGAAAGTGACGTCATGTCATCTGCTGCCGCGTGACGTCATGTCATCTGCTGCCGCGTGACGTCATGTCATCTGCTGCCGCGTGACGTCACGAGCTAACAGGAAGCTGGAGGTCCGCGCGTGAACTGCAATCCGAGGTGAGAAATTTTCATTGCGGTTGTTGTTGTGGTTGTGGTTGTTGTGGTTGTTGTTGTTGTTTACCAAGCTAGAGCATCGCTCTCTCTCTCGTAGGGATGTCACTAGAGCAGCAGCAGCTTGTGAATCGATGTCCAAGTTGGAACTTTACAACGCGGGGCCTAGACACGCGGGGCCTTGCCTCCTGCCCTCGCCTGGTCGCGTTTGCTTTAATTCCCTCCCTTAAGTTTAATTTGTCTTCACGCGGCTCGCTACTTTGTCACTTTGGTTTATTGTAGATATTAACGCAGTTTTTTTTTGGTTTTTTTTACAGCCCAAGCCCGCTTGAGCTGCTGTACCGCTCTTGTTTACAGAAGCTACCTGCCCACAACAACAACAAGGTATGGGGGGTTTTGTCAACGCGTGTCTCGGTGTTTTGACTTAAAACTTTAGTAACTGCAGCAATTCATATTCTTGGTTCTTTCGGTGAAGTCACGGATATAGAAAATTTATTAAAAATAACAGATAATAAAATGAATAAAAGTAAACAAAATTGTAAATAAATAAATAAGACCCACGACGTTTCTATCACAACAAAAGTGGCATTTATTCTGATTTCATTATCTGTTGTTATTGTCTATCTACGTGACTTTACCGAAAGAACCAAGAATACGTGTGGAAATGTGTATCGGTCAAAGAGGCTAAACACGTGCTGATGTTGACTCTAAATGTGGAGGGGAAACCCGGGAGATTCGGAGGAAAATCCACGCGACCACGGAGAGAGAGACACGCAAACTCCAAATATACAGCAGCAGGCGTCAGGGTCAGGATCGAACCCACGACTTCCTGTATACCAGGCGAGGTAGTCAACATCTCACCACGGAGAGTGAGACTCGCAAACTCCAAATATACAGCAGCAGCAGGCGTCAGGGTCGGGATCGAACCCACGACTTCCTGTATACCAGGCGAGGTAGTTAACATCTCACCACGGAGAGAGAGAGAGAGACACGCAAACTCCAAATATACAGCAGCAGCAGGCGTCAGGGTCGGGATCGAACCCACGACTTCCTGTATACCAGGCGAGGTAGTTAACATCTCACCACGGAGAGAGAGAGAGAGACACGCAAACTCCAAATATACAGCAGCAGGCGTCAGGGTCGGGATCGAACCCACGACTTCCTGTATACCAGGCGAGGTAGTTAACATCTCACCACGGAGAGAGAGAGAGACACGCAAACTCCAAATATACAGCAGCAGGCGTCAGGGTCGGGATCGAACCCACGACTTCCTGTATACCAGGTGAGGTAGTCAACATCTCACCACGGAGAGAGAGAGACACGCAAACTCCAAATATACAGCAGCAGCAGGCGTCAGGGTCGGGATCGAACCCACGACTTCCTGTATACCAGGCGAGGTAGTCAACATCTCACCACGGAGAGAGCGACACGCAAACTCCAAATATACAGCAGCAGGCGTCAGGGTCGGGATCGAACCCACGACTTCCTGTATACCAGGCGAGGTAGTTAACATCTCAACACGGAGAGAGAGAGAGACACGCAAACTCCAAATATACAGCAGCAGGCGTCAGGGTCGGGATCGAACGCACGACTTCCTGTATACCAGGCGAGGTAGTTAACATCTCACCACGGAGAGAGAGAGAGAGACACGCAAACTCCAAATATACAGCAGCAGTCGTCAGGGTCGGGATCGAACCCACGACTTCCTGTATACCAGGTGAGGTAGTTAACATCTCACCACGGAGAGAGAGACACGCAAACTCCAAATATACAGCAGCAGCAGGCGTCAGGGTCGGGATCGAACCCACGACTTCCTGTATACCAGGCGAGGTAGTTAACATCTCACCACGGAGAGAGAGATAGAGAGAGACACGCAAACTCCAAATATACAGCAGCAGGCGTCAGGGTCGGGATCGAACCCACGACTTCCTGTATACCAGGTGAGGTAGTTAACATCTCACCACGGAGAGAGAGAGACAGGCAAACCCCAAATATACAGCAGCAGGCGTCAGGGTCGGGATCGAACCCACGACTTCCTGTAAACCAGGTGAGGTAGTTAACATCTTACCACGGAGAGTGAGACACGCAAACTCCAAATATACAGCAGCAGGCGTCAGGGTCGGGATCGAACCCACGACTTCCTGTATACCAGGTGAGGTAGTTAACGTCTCACCACGGAGATACGAGGGCTTCCAGGCATATTTATGACCATTTGCCCTCTCATTGTGTGCAATAACAGCCCGTGTGATGAATTTGGGAAACTTTTTCACATCATGAATATATGAATAAGTATAGACGTGTAAGTCACGTGTGACTTTGTTTTTGCATTCATCTGTGCCTCGATACTGTCGTGTAGGTGGTGTGCATATTATTTTTTTCTGTCTACAGCTTACGTTTGGGTCTGATGGAGCAAAGGCAGTCAGCACAGCTCGGTACGGCAAGGCAACAATGCGACCAGCGTGGATACAGCATGGAGCGGACTGGAAATTTGACACAGCACCAGAGAGCACACACAGGAGAGAAACCCTTCAAGTGCAGTGTGTGTGCGAAGGCATTTGCATGGCCATCTGCTCTTCAGATCCACCAGAGAACACACACGGGAGAGAAACCCTTCAAGTGCAGTGTGTGTGGGAAGGCATTTTCACAGTCATATAATCTTAAACAACACCAGAGAACACACACAGGAGAGAAACCTTTCAAGTGCAGTGTGTGTGGGAAGGCATTTTTACGGCCATCTGCTCTTAAAAGACACCAGAGAACACACATGGGAGAGAAACCCTTCAAGTGCAGTGTGTGTGGAAAGGTGTTTTCTGTTTTATGTCATCTCGTAATACACCAGAGAACACACACGGGAGAGAAACCCTTCAAGTGCAGTGTGTGTGGGAAGGCATTTGCACAGTCTCTGCTCTTGTAATACACCAGAGAACACACACGGGAGAGAAACCCTTCAAGTGCAGTGTGTGTGGGAAGGCATTTGCACAGTCATCTGCTCTTGTAATACACCAGAGAACTCACACGGGAGAGAAACCCTTCAAGTGCAGTGTGTGTGGGAAGGCGTTTGCACAGTCACCAAATCTTAGAGTACACCAGAGAACACACATGTGAGAGAAATCCTTCAGGTGCAACCTGCAGGAAGGCGTTTGCACGGTCATCAAATCTTCAAGTACACCAGAGAAGACACAAGCATCAAAAGATCTGCAAAGAGTGGAGTCTGAAATCAGCTTGTGAAAGTCAAAGTGCTGCAATGAGCCCATCCCTCATCAAACAAGAACCGGAAGAATATCCCAGCTTGGACACTTAAAGGTATCGAGGTGGAATTTGAAGAGGTGAAGTTGGAATGTGAAGAAGTGATGGTGAAGAGCGAAGAAGTGAAGGTAAAATGTGAAGATGAAGATTCAACTTTAAAATGTGACCTTCACATCGATGGAGGCAACGTGAAGCAGGAGGAGATCTGACTGAGGCAGAGCGAGGCAACTCCCAGCAGTTTGTGGAAGTGGAGGTGTGGGTGGACTTCCTCTGAGACAACACAAAGTGAAATGGAGACCCGGTATATGTGTAAGCCAGAGACGATGTCACTCCAATAGATGCACCCTTGTCACAGGCCTTTAATGACAAGAATGTGAAGTTGAACACTCAGTTCCTAGGTTCAACCTGCAGGGTAAGAGCGGCCAGTCTTTGTGGACCTGTGTGTTGGGTTGATCTCTGACCAGCAGAGAGCCAATAAGCTCCCAAGCATTCACGATGTTATAATTGCTTTTACATGGTGCTTACTTAATCCGCTCAGCAACTCTGAGTTTTGTATCGTACCTCGTCTCAAACATTCTAAGAGCACCCCAAGTGGCAGCTGCCCCTGTGTGGCACAAGGTGGTGGCCCTGCACCGGCCTGCGTGTGGACAAGAGCCTGTCAGTAGGGGGCGATGGTTGATGTGTAATCTCAGTTGTGGAGTTTGTCGGTAATGTTTAGAATTTGCTACATTTTTGACCCAGACGCCAACTTGCAAAGGCCTACTCGTTTTGAATTATACAATTGTGTGTTTCACATCCACTGTTCAGTAGAGGGTGCATTCTTTAAATAGCTCCTTGTTAATAAGATGTTATCTAAACTAAATTATTCAATTTTGGAAGAACGTAATCAACCAGGTAGGGTGTTGACTTGTGTTGGCTGACTCTTGTGTTGTGTTGAATTGTATTTCTAAGTTCACTATGTTTGTTTTCTCATTCACTTGTTGTACCTGACGATGGTTGCTTGTGTTCCAATCGAAACGTCGTTTTCTATTAAATTTCGTTCTACATGACTTTACTGAAAAAACCAGAGAATAAGATGTTATCTGATGCAGTATATTTCACTGCACTAATTCAATGTTGTGCATATGCCTGTCAATAATTTAGAATGAATACTTGTCTGTGTGCGTACATGTAACACACTGTACGTACACAATGTACACACACAGTGTACACACACACACACTGTACACAGTGTGTGTGTGTGTACAGTGTGTACACACACACACAGTGTATACACACACTGTACACACGCACAGTGTACACACACACAGTGTACACACACACAGTGTACACACACACAGTGTACACACACAATGTACACACATACACACAATGTACACACACTGTGTGTGTACACACAGTGTACACACACAGTGTACACACACACACAGTGTACACACCCAAGGGGTCTCTGTTCAAGAGATGGAGCAATGGAAAATGGATCTAAATCAACTTAAACTCCAACCCCGCTCTGTGACGTCACCACTCAGCATTACGTCATCCGCGTGAAACGCCAAGGGAGGTGTACCTCGCTAGTGACGTCATGTCACCAAGGATGTCACCCCCCTCCCCCCTGTCCACCGCGCTCTT